TTTCCTGTTGACTGAACCTTCAGGAATCTTTGCTTACTAACGAGAGCCAGAAAGGAACCCAGATACTTTATTTCATAGGATCAAGGTTTCTCCCAAGCTGCTGAGGATGTAATTCTTTTCCTTGTCTTTGTCACTAATGTGTGTCTGTATCAGAAGCCCTGTCCTGGGTCTTGGGAGAAATGAGCTTTCCTTGAATGTCTTGAATTCCATAACTCCGGTCTATATGCTCTACAGTGGTTTACAGGCTATATAGTTCCTTCTGGCAATTTGTGACCATCAATATGACAGGTGAATAAAAGGATGAAAACCCTGCTAATATTGGTGAAATCTGCATGCCTTTGCACACACTTGGAATGATTAAAAAAAAGAGCAACCTAATAAATTCTTCACATTCTTGTTGAAGGACAGTAAAATTTAGGTTAATAGTAATTTTTTTCTGACTATGGCAATGGTACAGAGCTTTATAGAGAACCAAGAAACAGTTTATGAGTGTTGACAGCTCCAGAAGTTTGCACCAAGGTAGAGATTACTGCTTCAATTACAAGAAGAACATTTGAGGTAACTCACTGCAATCCTTATTTCATCACAAATGCACAGCTTCTAAATCCTTAAAGTTGCTTTCAAGCAGAGCATGTTCGTAGAAGATGTATAAACAGCCTTCATGATATGAGTTATTTAGAAGGTAGACTTTCTAGAGAGATAGGTTGAGTTGTCATAGACTCATGGGGCTAAATGGATTACTGGATCTCCTCTGCCTCTCAGATGGCTAATTTGCACATAACTGTAAAATTATTGAACTCACTGACTTGTGCTTAACTAATACATGACTTGCATTTGGCTAAAACATACATTCCTAAAAGACTGCTTTTCTTGATTTGAAGATACCAAGGAGCAGAGAATCTACCACTTCACTGCTGGTATATGCTAATTTAATAATGCTTGTTGTTAATCCATGTGTCGTGTTCAGAGTTTGAGTTGGTTTCAGCTCAGTTGGTTTTTGGCAGAGTCACAGTATCACTACAAGATGTCCTGTTGTGACTCTATAAACCCTTCAGGGTTTCTGCTTTGGTCAGTGTAGTTCACCATTTTGTTCTCATGGACAGTTTTCCTTATTGCTGGGTATCTTTGCAGTTAAATTCCTTGAAATGTAGTTTACATGAGTGGTGTCAACAAACCAAACAACTGAGGCTGCTGTTGATGACTTCCACATCCTCATAGTTTATTCCTGCCCCCCCAATTTTTCTGTTCTCTGGAAGTTTTCACACTGTGGAAGTTTTCATAGTAGTTTTCATAGTTTCTGGATCACCAGTGAAGAAATTGAATACCATAAAAGAGTCTCAGGTCTTGCAGAGCCTGACTTAAAACTGACCCATTAGACAAAGACAGCCAGTTGATGGTTGTTAGAAATGGGTTAATAATCAGGTTCTTAACCCATGTAATGTGTCCTCTCTCAACACTGGGAGTGCTGTCGCAGGATATTATACAGTACTAAATCAAATGCCCTACAACAAGCCAAGAATATTACATGCTCAAAGACATAAAACAATATTGACTTGCATTAATTGCATTCCTACATCTTAGTTCTTTAACAAGCAAATTCCTAGAATATATGTATTTCAGCTTTTCCATTATTTTACCCAGACTGATGTTTTGTGAAGTGTCCTGAAGTTACCCAGCCATCCTGCTTGCAAATTCTAATTGGCACAAAATGAACATTTTTGCAGTTCTCAAAAGTTACTAAAGCTGAACATCACAGTTCCTGGGATCTCTGCCACCTCTTTTTATGACTCCTGTGGAGAAAGTTGTCCAGGCTTGTTGATGAAGTAATGGCTAACATTTCCTGTGGGTATTAAGGGACTTCATCATCTTTCTGCCTTTCAAGGTCATTGTCTTGATTCTTTCAAAACGCACAACAGTGCTCATTAAAAACTTCCTTTTTTCTTAATTATTTTATTGCTCAGGTACCATAATTTCAACTGATACCTTTCTCATTTCCATATTCTTTGCTTGATTGGAACCATTGTAGAAAAATGTCATTATTCCCTTCTTCCCCCATGTTTTGTCTTCATGAATGTATGTGTGGATGAAAACAAGAATTTCCATTTCGTGTTGCGGGATTTCCACTTATTTCTAACTTCTGTTTTTCTTATCTTGAATTACTGTAGGTATTTGGTTGTGCGTGGCAGCTATTTGCTGTGCACTCATCTATACACCGTAACCTCCTCTAAAGCTAATTATTCACTCATTCCAACCTGGGAATTGAGGATGAAAATCAGCCAAAATGATTGGTGTAAATCAGTGCTGGTGTGAATTTCTCAACTATAAATTTCTAAGGTTATACTTCAACATGTAGCCAAACTCATAGGGCATGCTGAGTCAATGAAGTCGTACTAGTAAATTCTATCACGGCAACTGGTAGTTCTGTAAGGTCGAGGCTGTGGGTCTTGGAAAAATCATACAAATTAGTAGTGAGCTGTCAATATCAGGTGTAATTTCCTATTATCGGTATAGTTAATATGCAGCTGAAATAAATTGTTGTAACATATATCTACATTGGAGGAAGATGTTTTTTTGTGGGTTTACATCAAAATTATCTAGTTAAATAGCTGTATAAATACCATCCTTCAATAAATTCAAAAAACTAAATCAGTGACTCTTATAGATATGTCTTTGTCTCATACATTGGTGGGGAATGAAAAAATTCAAGGAAGAATTTTTTTTTTTTTTAATACATGCTAAACAACTAGTGTAATTTATGTAGCAGCCATTTTAAATATTCCTTATGTGAAACAAGTTCTGTGCAGTTGGGGACAGTTGTTACTAAGATTGAAGGAGGAACCAAGCTTTAAACTAGCAAAGTAATAGAAGTGATTTACAAACTTGGTTTTCCAATGTCTGTTCGTAGTAGCTATTGCAGCCGAACAGCCACATGCTTCACTTCTTGAGCAGCCAGGAGTATAATGTCTGTTATTTTACCATTTTCTAAGTCGTGATTGGAATTGCCTTCTGAAGGGAGGCAGCGTATCTTCAGTTCAGTTCTCAGTGTTGATGCTGGGTAGGTGGCAGCAGTGCTCTCTTGCCGGTGATCAGAAAACAATGCAATGCAGGTGTAGACAAGCTTTATATTCAGCCTCACAAAGCTGAGCTGGAAGAATCAGGAGAAGTATTTTCAGAAATACTTTTTCGGCTATTTTAATGTCTTGCTTAGTTTCCCGTATCCCAGGTCTGTTTTCAAAACTTAACTGTTTTATATTCATTTACCTGTATAGATCCAGGACAGATATAACTGTGCATATTATACAGAAAATGCATCAGTAATGTGTTCATTCACATGCTTTTTATATTACCTATTTTAAGGAAGACAGTAAGCTTTCCATATGAAAATATTTAAGTGCTGGGTGATATGTTGACTGTATCCAGTTGTCACATTGCTATACATTGCTCTCCTGTGAGGAAGAAATTCGCTAATACCATGTTTTGCCCTATTGATATTTGCAGGTTCAATTCTTCCTCAAGCACTTAGTGTTGCTGACATTGCTGTGTAGCATCACCCGGAGAAGTAGAAACCACTCCAGCCAAAACCTCCCTTGTGACTGTTGTTGGTCAGCATCTTCCAGTGAATCAGTCGTGTGGGCTTAGGCTGAAAGCCGCACCTCATTCAGCTTGTCCTTAGACATTTGCCCATTGTCGTATTGGGAAACTCTCCCTCCTTTTGATACAACAAAGACTCAGAAATTTGACGTGGCTGTGCATATGCCTTGCACGGAGTGGTGCAAGATAATGCATTCTTCTTTTAAGTTTTGGTATCTGAATGGCAGATGGTGGGATATTTTATTTAATGCTCTGAGTCAGCTCACTGACACATGCCACTTTGAATTAATCCCTTTTTTTTCTATGATGTATAGCTGTAATTGATTATATTAATCTGCCAAGGCAGAAGGAGCAAAAGCTGAATAAATACAGTGAGAATTTGAGTGCTCTTATTAGCTCACTTCTAGCTTCACCATAGAAACTTAACGTTTACTGGGAATTGTAAGATGCATGACTTGCTTTATCTTAATAATAACTGCTTTTATCTCTTAAAATAAAAAAACAGTAGAAACTGGCAGACTGACCCAGTGGTCTAAGTAGATCAGTTCTGAATTGAGATGGCATAAAAGCCAAAAACATTTTCATTGTTACAGTACATCACAGACTGCTCAAGAAACCTGATACCTATATTTCTGTTGTTTTTTCTTCACAAAAACCTCAAAATATACTTCCATATGAAAAATTAAAACTGCTAGGCAATCCACATGAATATGCACAATACTAATTTTAACTGCTTGGATGGCGCGTCCATTGAAGAGAGCTGGTTAGTGCTGCTGAAATGACATCTTAACCCCATTATTTTTGAATGGCGTGTGAATGCTGCAGGCGGGGATGCCATTATAAAATGGCTTTTGCCGTAAAAAAAAGAAATACCCCATGCCCAGGAGAGTCCTGGCGCTGGCCAATGGGAAATTACTGTACATCATGTCACCAGCCCCTCGGATTTATGTCTTTTAGGGTGACATACTATTGGTTCCTAGTTAGGCTTTATGGGAGGGATTACTGGCACTGTTTGTGGCTTCCCCTTCAGGTCCTTATTTGGTAGCTGTTGATAGAGCAAGTCCTTCCAGCAGCTGAGCATCTTGACATACATTATTCATTAAGTCCTGGTGTTCAGCAAATATGCATATCCCTAGCTCTTCAGATATTTCTTCAGCTCGTACAATATGTCTCTTCAACATTGCTTCTGAATGCTTGGAGTTTTACAAATGGCATTTATACAATCGGAAGACCACACGGTTGGATTTCTTTTCAGTATGCCTCCTGTGCACACAGTTGCTGAGAACCTGAAGATCAGCAAAAAGAATTAGGAGAGAAAAGAAGGAATCTTTTCTTGGAAGTCTTTTGCAGTATCAGATAGCAAAGAACTGATTAGCTTAGATTGGTCGTTTTGAAAAAAAAAATCAAAAATGCCTGAGGCAAACTATTTACTCTCAGTTTCCTGGGGCTACATAAAGGTAGGATTTTGTTTTACCTTTTAAGAACCTTGATTTGTGGTGCATGATTGCATGATCACTGGATAACATGAGAATCTGTGGGTGGTATGACTATGAGTAATATGAATATAAAGTAAAAAGTCAGAAAAGCAAGCCTTTGTTCAGCAATGAGAATGAACTGCACAGTATGCAGTCTTTCGTAGAAAGTGTGCTGGGACTTTTAAAATAATGTTGCTTCAGTGGATAATCAGACCAAGTCTAAAGCCAAAGAAACTCTGTGTTCTTTTTAAAAAAAGATTGCTACAAAACTGTGTTTCTAGACATTAAAAGATTAAAAAAAAACCCCAAACCCTCAAAACTGAGGTACCATACAATAGGAGAGAGCATGAGTAAGAGGCTGAGGATAATGGGTGAATGCATGACTTACACTGGTTCTAATAGCTGAAGAAATGTGAAATTATCAACAGTATGCCAGCAGCATTTTTTGGTAGCCTCTGTGTGTGTGACAGCTTGCTGATTAAAACACTGGAAATTGTCATCTTCTGATACTGATCTACATTATTATGTAGAGCAGCTTTGAACTAGCTTGAAACTGCAATACTGCTAGAAAATAGAATTAAATAAGCTTTTATCTCTTTTATTGAAAAGTTTTGCACCAAGGAATTAAATCAACATGCCTGTCAACATACAGAACTGGTATTAATACAAAACCACATTTGGGCTTTGGTTTAGCCCTATTTACGTGTTTGTGCTTAAAAAAATGATGCTGCCTTTATAATTGTTATCAAGTGTGTAAAAAAAAAAAAAAAAAAGAAAAAGAAACATCATCCTATGCTTGACATACAATAATTGTTGCAAACCATCCTATTTTAAAGAAAATTGATTTCTTCTGAACTAAATAACGCAAGTGTTGAATTAAATGACTAAAAATGATACAAGCATTATATTGACATGACTGAATCTCTTATGCTTGCTTGTATTAATACCTACTTTTATCATAGATTTTTTTTTTTAAATAGAAATGTAAACCCCTCATTAGGTCATTGTGTCCGATTAGGTCATTGTGACCATTTTCTGCTAATGCAGAATCGTTACAGTATATTCTCAAGGATTTTGATCAGTCATCTGTGAAGAAATTGGATCCCATTATGCTAGCTAGGTGGATTCCTTTCTCATTTGCCAAAAAATAAGATGAATTTATTTTCCATTCAGCCAGAAGTGGGGTATTTATTGTAATTGGAAGTATTTCCTGCATTTCCAGGCAGCTGCTGTCATGTTCCACCTTGCTAAATCAGAAAAATTCAATCACCAGTCTTAAAAAAATTTCACTCTTACTGTTTAGCCTTTAAAATTGATAGAGTTTTTGCTAATTGAGGTTCAGCGGAGAGCATGGTAGCTGTAACTGATTACACATGGAAAAAAATGTCCTCTGTATAGACAGTGTCCTATACTGTCTATAGACAATGATTTTAGTTAAGAAGCTAAATAGAATATAAATTGAACACAATTTTAGTACAGTGCTTTTTGAGTTCACAGTATACACATTATAGGAAAAATGTGAAGAGAAGCAAAGATCTGCTTTTTATGACATTCAAAAATGGTTTAGGGTATTTATGAAATTCTAATGAAGAATGAGACATGTTAGTGTCAGAGATCATTATATATGTTTACATCCCTTACTATACATATACTTCCGTAATTTCTTTATCCTTCAGGCTGCATTTTATTCTCTGTTGTTAATTATATTTCGGAGGATGGTTGTCCTGTCGAGTATTTACTCTTGGCTTTCATTGGGTATCTTTCCTTGAAACAATGAGCACCACTATCACAATGCCAGGCTTAGAGATATGTACCTCACTGTAGTTTGTGTGTAAAAAAAAAAAAACCAGTGGGTCACCTTGATATTAATTAAACACATGGGCTTCCAACCCAAATCTTTAGTTACTAAGAATGCTGTGTAGGTATTAAGAATGGTGCTGAAATCAAAGGTAGTTTTGCATTGATAAGCAGTATAAACAGAAGCCTTACATGAATTTGTAAAGCTGGCTTATTTTAAGTTTCTTGTCTTGTTTTTGTAAGGTATAAGATTTTTAAAATCCAGCAAAATAATACAGGTTTTGAGTTACAAACATTTTTTTAAAATAACATTGATAGGTATCTCAGAATCAAAATGTCGTCATGTAAGTTTAACATTCCAAGTATTGAATGCATGTTCCATGGATGTATTCTCTTCATGTAAGCTTTTAGAAATGTTACCTAGAAAAGAGGCAGCCAGAAAGGTTGAAACTGGGATCTGTTGCCATGTGGGTTTGGGAGCCAGTGCAGTGAAAGGCTCTGGGTGTTCTTGAGCATTGATTGGTTCCAGCCTCCACTGGGCTTGAGCTTGATTAACCCTCAAACGGAAGGACAGGCAGGATGGAGGCTTTTGGTCCATGGGCTACCTTCTAGCCCTAGCTTCACGTTCTGTGCTGATGCAAAAGCTTGTAGTGGAGGCAGCCTCTTTACAGTCCTTGGGGTGCAGCAGATCACCCATTCAGGAACAGAAAGCCTGGGTGGGAGAGGCCCTACCAGGAAGGGACATCTATACCAAGGGTGGTTCAGCGTGCTTCCTCTCCCATCACAACTAGCTGCAGGCTGCATATTCCCTTCAGCTTTTTGTTACTGAGTCAGGAACTTTATGCAAAAAAATGTGAAATGTTCTGAAGTGTAATCAATAAACCCCATACATATTAAGTATGCAGCCCAAACTTTTTCATGCCGTGAATTGACTCTAGTTGGATCTTCTCCATGTCTTTGGAGTCGAACTTGAACTTTCTTTCTAGTATAGGTGCAAAGCATTCCCAAAATTATATCGGTCCTCTGGTTGCCATGTGGGAACATGGTCGCTGCAAAAGTTTGTCTAAATTTTTCAATGTACCTTTGCTGACATCAGAAAAGTATCCTATTTTTTTCTCCAAAAACCCCATGTATGTTTATCCTAGGTTGACAGCAGTAAGGTACATGCAGAGCAATACACACATTGGGCTTCAGCCCAGAAGGACCTAAACTACCAAGCTCAATCCCTCCTATTCTTTGGAGGTGACCACTATTGAGGAAACTGTTCTTGTCTCATCAACATACACATGTTTATTCTCATGTATTAAAGTTCTCCTTCTGTCAGACTTCCTAGGTTTTTAAAGGGAGGTAAAAATGCACATGTACTTTTGTCACTTTGGGAGATTTTTAATGTTACTTGAATATTGTGCCCGTGTTGTGGGTTCCCCCC